CTGCGAGTGGAAGTGGAAAGTGTAAGTACGCAGGTGGGACTGCTGAGCGGCGTGTCTCTGACCGCGCAGGGCCGGGGCTCTGCACCGGAGGTTGCCATGTATCCCAGGATTAAAAACCTCGCGCTTTACGCCTTGTCAGTCACGCTGCTGGCTTGGTTTTTTTACATGAAGAAAGAGGCAAAGTTGGCAGCGTCGTCAGCAGGCCAGAAAGTGGATGTAGCGAGCCACAAACCAAAGTCTTTGGTTCTGGACAATGCTGAACTCAGCAAGTGTTTGCCAAACTTGACCCTCGCTAATTCTTCTCTCAGCCTCCCAGAGCTTCACCGTGTCTTCTTAACGTACAAACACTGCCGGAACTTCGTGGTCCTGCGGAAGCCTTCCAGGTGTAGCAAAGAGACGTTCCTCTTGCTGGCGATTAAGTCTTCCCCAACCAACATAGACCGGCGGGTGGCCATCAGGAACACGTGGGGGAAGGCGGTCTCCATCGGTGGCAAGCGCATCAGGCTGGTGTTCCTTCTAGGGCGCTCAGAGGCCAAAATCCACGTACCGCCCCTGCACCAGCTGCTGGCTTACGAGAGCCAGGAGTTTGATGACATCTTGCAGTGGGATTTCATTGACAACTTCTTCAACTTGACCCTCAAGGAGCTGCATTTCCTCCGCTGGTTCATGGAGGACTGCCTGCACGCCAGGTTTGTGCTGAAGGGCGATGATGATGTCTTTGTCAATACTTACAACATTGTTGAGTTCCTCCAAGAACTGGACCCTGAACAGGATCTCTTTGTTGGGGACGTGATCACCAACGCCCGGCCCATCAGGAACACCAAGGTCAAATACTTTATTCCAGAGTCCATGTACAGAGCCCACTTCTATCCTCTTTATGCGGGTGGGGGGGGCTACGTGATGTCTAGAGAGACAGTGCGCCGCCTCCAGAGCACCGCAGAGGACATGGAGCTCTTCCCAATAGATGATGTGTTTGTGGGAATGTGCCTGGCAAAGATGGCAGTGACCCCAAAGAACCACGCTGGCTTTAAGACTTTCGGCATCCAGAGACCTTTCAATCCTTTTGATCCGTGCTTGTACAAAGAGCTGATGATTGTGCACAAACTAAACCCTACTGAGATGTGGATCATGTGGACGCTGATAAAGGATGACAGCATTAGGTGTGCGGTGTCAGTAACGCACAACTACAGAAGGGGTTGGAAAAGAAGCTACTGATGAGCGCAGCGGGATTGTGACTGGTAACAGACACAGGGTACTTAAACTAAAAATCGGGTTGTGGTAGAAACGTGTCCTCTACTAACAGACTGTACTTGAGCCATAGGGTTTTGTTTTGCAGTAAGTCTAATATATTGGTGGCTTACTGAAGCAGTTGGATTTGCGGGGTGGGGATGGGGCCGGTAGCTCGGTGTGACGTGGCACAGGCGACTCGGCTCAGTTCCTCCCAGCCAGACTGGAGCCGGGGAAGTCACAACTGCCCCAGGGATGTGAGTTGAGTGAGGTGCCATGTGGCATGGGGGCTCTGCAGTGCCGAGGCTGCTGTCTGATTCAGTCTCATGTAGGAAGCTAATGATGACTAATGAGTGACAGAGCATTTGAAATTACTTGAAGGGGTGGAAGAAAAGGCCAGTGTGTGCTGCTGGGTCCGCTGCAGTGCAACTCCGCTGTCCCAGGCCAGCGATCCTTCAGGTCCTACGGGACAGCAGGAGAAAGGGAGTGGTGGACTGGGGGGGAGGGGGGGGGGAGCCTCAAAAATGTATTGCCTTAACACAGCAAGATGATCCAAGGGACTGGGCTCTGACTCGAGCCCTTTGGATTTTACAGAAGTTTATTACAGGTTTACTTGCACTGGAAGCTTTTGCACAAACACTTTCTGATTGGGTTTGAGAGGAGCGATGTGTCTTGAATAATCACAGAGGTAGTTAACAGTGGCTGTAGCTTTTCATGTTGTGCGAGAGGTGTCTGGGGTTTTTGTTTGTTTGTTTTTGTAACATTGGATATAAATAAAATACAGTTTTGAAAACTGTTTTCACAGGAGTATTCTTGGGTCTCCTGAAAGCTAAGAGAACTAAAAGCCAGAGAAGGCTCATATCTGGTGCTGGGCATTTGCATTAAGGAGCTGTCGATACTGAAGAGGATGAGGTTATGTGGCAATGGAAACTTTCTACTTCCTTTGCTGTGAACAGCTGCTGTTTTCTGCCTCTGTCCAGACAAGATGTACTGACATAGAAGTGGTTAATGTATGAGTACGTGGGAGTCGCTAATTTGAGGAAAGATCAAATATGAAATGAAGATTTGGTGATACTTTTAGGAAGCTTATCAGCTTCAGGGTGCCTTGCTGCTGGATCAGAAGCTGCTGTGCTGTGTGTGAGCAGGAAGCACCCTGGAAGCTTTAGAAAAAGGTAGTGGGTAGAGAGGAAGTGTGTGATTACAGAAATCTGAGGAATTTGTACACAAATGACGCAGTGTTGTGCTGTTGTCATTGCTGTCGTAGTGCCAGCTGCCCAGCGTTCACTGCCCACCAGATGTGAGCCAGAGCTTTTGGAGGTGCTCGGAAAGCGCTTCCAGCAGGTCCTTGCTTGTACTCCTTAGGCAGAGGGACTGAGGGCGTCCCGAGGCCAGAGATGTGACGAGCTTTGGGGAGGCTGGCCGCCCTGCCTGCCAGCGGGGCGGTGCGGTGCTGTACGACCTCGGGCTGAGGGACTCCTGGCAGTACCGCTGGTCCTCGTTCGATCCCTCGCTGCCTTGGCTTTCTAAAGCACCAGGTGTAGTTCTAGCTTACCCTGCAACATGACCCAGACTCTTACAGCGGGAGTTGCTGCTCTCACATGAGCTGTTTCTGTGCCAAATGCAGGTGTTTGAAAAAATTGCTCTTCCAAGGGGGGAGCCTCTGCGTGTGTGTCCATCCTCAATGTGTCTTGTACAAGCTGCTACTACATCTTCTCACTAGAGCCCTAAAAGGGATTGAGTAGCTGTACCTGAGAAATTGTCTACATGTAGTTTCAGATATGTTGGCTTTGTAAAGAAGGCCGAGTATCAGCAGCAAAACTGAGTTTCTGGGCACTGTTCTCTCTCTGGGCACTGCTGCTTGTTCTAGAGAAGAGACTGGACAGAGCGGGTACCGTGGTACCCTGTGAACTGCTGTGGCAGCATTTTTCTGATCCACTAGATGATTCCAAATGCAAACTCAGTAACATAACGTAGAGCGTAACGTCATGTCTGTTGTGGGCTTAGGTGTATGGGCTAACCCCGCAATAGGCAGCTCTCACTTCCTAATAAAGGTGTGGGGTTCCTTCCCACCCCGTTTTGGAGGTGTTACGGAGCCACTCGTGCTCCTCGCTCCCATTTTGACTCAACTGAACTGATTAGTTGGCTCGCGCCACGCCTGGAGGTTAGATGTGTGTGGGTACAGCCTGTGTCTTGGGAAATAAGAGCAGGGCATACGGTGAAACAAGAAGTAGGGCAACAAGGGGGCTGGGAGCAGGCTCTGAAAGGGGAAGAATGAGTTGCTTTGCAGACTTACATAGCAGTGCTCATCTGTCTTAAGCTATATACGTCTCTGCCATGCAAGCATCCGGGTAGAGTTACTGTGGCATTCTGAAAGGAACGCAACCTGCATTTGGGTCCGTGGCTTGGCAGAAGTTCTTAAATGGCAGCATGTAACAAACTGGAGCGATTGTGGTTAGAGGCTGACCTGAAGTTGCATTTGGCTCTTGAGGGTGTGGTTGTGCCACTGCTGCAAAGAATCCTCTCATGATAAGTGGTTTTTTTTTCCCTAATGCTCCAGCCCAAAGCTGCGTTTGGGCCCTCCTGACTACTGGCACAGCACACGCTAGCGTCTCGTGGTGAGCTTTAATTCTGGACTGTGCCATCCTCCTTGGATACAGCAGTACCCAGGGAGGAGCAGGAGCAAGGAAAGGCGGTTTGTTAATTTCTTTCCTATTTAATCTATAAATGTACAGTGCTGTGCAGCTGAGATTGCATTTGCTCAAAGGGCAGGCAAAATGAGATGCAGATAGAAAGGCTTATGCTACAGCCAAAAAAAGTGCTAGTTGAGCACAACTGAACTTATTAACAGTGACCTTGACACAGATGTAGTGCATCAGATGCTAATTTGTGGTGAAAAACCTGTCATTAATGTATGTTTTCTTACAAAACCTGATGAATGGGGGTTAATTGATTCAAATCAGCAGTGCTAAAGTTGTAGTGGATGCTATTCTACAAAGCAATCTCGGCTTGAGTTTATGTTGTCTCTACAGTTAATACTGCAAATTTCACATTAAGCTGGCAAGTTAGAAAATGAACACAGTGAAAGACACCTGTGGTTTTGAAGCCTGCAGTGAAACATTAAGCTTGCAAAAAGAGAGATTTAAGATTATTTTCCTGAAACTTGTGCTGGAAAGCATTCAAATATGTAAAACTCACTTTTGCTTACTGCTTTGTAAAGAAGTACACAGCAGTTGCCACAACGAATTTGTTTATAACCACAGTATCTTGAAAATCAAATCTCCCTTTGCTTCCTGGGGAAGGCAGGTGCCTTACAGGTGGTGACTCTTGGGTGAAAGAGGTTGCTGTACTGAACTGCAAAGCTTCACTAAGAGCAGCCTGGGTAACCCCATAGAAAGTTTTCAGCCCTACAGCAAATGTTTCCCCTGATTGCAGTTAAGTGTAATTTGATGCAGCTGTCACTCAGCTCCGTTACAAACTTTTATGTTCAAACACAAAACAGCTTTTAATCTCTTACCCAAATGGGCACACTCACGATGAGATGCTTTTGCACAGTTTAATAAAGGTATCTCCTAACAGACATCATTTACTTCACAGGTTAAAAATAATTACTTTTAAATACATTTCTTTGGCTGATACCTAGTTAACCTCTAAGTTAAGGGCGCGCTCACAAACCTATCAAACAAGCAGTAGGACCTTCCCAGCAGAGAGACAATTAACAACAAGCTATCCTTGATAGCAGTTTTCACATTTGCATAGTTAAAAATTTAAATGATTGAATCCATAAGTATTACAAATATGGTAAGTTACCAACAAGATCAAGGCCTTTCAGATACTTGGAATTGACATGATTTGTAAAGCAATCCTGTTCGGGGAAAAAAATGGAATCATAGGCTTATTTCAGTAGGTTCGCACTATCCCACACTTTGGGACCCTCCAATTTGCGATTGACTCTCACATATTCTATGGTGACACTTAAGTTCTTTTCAGTCCTCCCGAAGGTAAGGGTCCTCGCCTGCTTCCGTACTTCCTAAAATAGCCTGTGGCAATGAAGATTCCTCTCCTTGAGCTTTTATGAGCTCTTCTGTCTGAGCTTCAGCTAACTTGGTCTCTGCTTTCTGGGACAGCTGTCGCACTTCTTGCACCTGTGATTTCACTAGCTGAATGTGGCTGCGGGCTGTCACTGAGGCTTGGTCTGCACCTGAAAAGTAATAATTTAAATACATGGGGTTAGAGGAGTGTTCAGCAAACCTTCAATTAAGGAAGTGACTGTCTATATCATCTTTGCTTTGCTAAGGGTTTTGATGGCTCTTGGGCTATATTAATGCTAAATGCATTTACTGTTCATTTACCTTAAACAACAATATGCCTACTTTGAGATTTTTTTGCCCCCTTGAATTCTTCCCACCCAATGGGTTATAGCCAGCATCTGATTGGAGCAGTCAGCTTCTGCTAGTGGGTTTGAGAACTAAACCCAGCCCAGTCATCGGGTGCCAGGAACTTTCAGTCCTTGTCCTTGTCCTGGCACGTACCAGCGGTGGGAATGTCTGTGGCACTGCTGAACTCGGAATCCCTTCTCCTCCCGTGCTCCTACAGATTCTGTGTCTTTTTCAGGCACTTACAGAGTTAGGGTGTCCCTGAATAGTCATCACTTTCCTCCCCTTCTCTGCTCCAATAACTTTGCTGATTTACTAGAAGTCAGCCCATAACTCGGTCTCGGAGCTATCAAGTCTCTACACTTTTTGTGTGTATACAGGGAGAAAAGACCAAAATTAATCTCTTTTCTGAGTGAAAGGCAAATATTCTCACTCTTTAATAAAAGTGAATCCAGCTAGAAAGACCTGCTGGACCCCCTAGGTAGCCTTATTTCTGTGGTTCCCAGAACTGTGTTTGAACGCTGCATTTAAAAATGACTAAACACCTCCTTCAAATGTTTTTTGGCATTGTTGGTCTTGATCTAAACCGCATGTGAAGTTTCCAGGTCTAGTTCTCAGAATGCTTCTACTAGACCTGTAGCCAATAAAAGAATCTAAGTTCTCTGCATCTCTGAAAAACAGGCACTAGTTGTAAATTGGTGCATTAACTGAATGTATATTCTGTGCCTCTCTGAACTCCATTCTCACTCAGTAAATACTGCCCAAATGCTAGGGGAAAGAAATTCTCAGTATTTCTGCTTGTGCTTACCTGATTGATATGCAGCTTCTGCTGCCATCTCTGAAAGACGTAACGCTGTCATCCAACTGGATTCCAGCCTTAGGTATTCCTG